CTGCTTCTCCCTCTGCCCCTCCCCCTCTCATGTGCTCTCTCTCATTCTCTCTCTCTGAAATAAATAAATAAAATCTTTAAAAAAAAAAAATATGAGTATGTGTTGTGTATCTGGACGTATACACAGAGACTCACCTGCATTCATGTCCACACATAAGAGCCATACATACATACATATGTATATGCTATTTCCGTGAGGGTAACTAAGAAATCATTCACACTGATTGCTTCTGAGGAGGAAAACTACAAAAACAGAGACAGAACGCCCATTTACTTTCTACAGGATACCTTTCCGTGCCTGTTGAACTGAATTACGTGCTACTGACATTACTCATTCAGAAAATAATTTTGTTCAGAGTGAGGATAAAACAGCCACTTCAGACCTGAAACCAGTGAAAAGAAAAGAACAAAAAGTGCAAGCCCAGGGAGCCCCTCGAGGCCCTACTGCTGACCCCCGCAACCATGAGGGTGCAAATAGAGAATACGCAAAAACTCTTACGGCTGGAGACGCAGTAGGAAAGTCTGCAGTTGATCTTCCTGAAGAGCTGCTTGTTAATTGGCCAGAGAAGGAGAGTGAAGAGTTGAATGGTGTTTATTATTAGCCCCGAGGCGATAAACACGTAACAGAAGACGAGATGGCACAGGAACTGAGACTTCAGCAACCCGATGAGGTCCATGGCGTGTGGTTGCTTTTATTCAAATACTCGCAGGAGAATACTTCCAGAGGGGAAAAAGGCCCGGCACTCAGGAAAGGGTCTAGAATACAAACCAATGATACATGTTACAAAAAATCATCTGTGCTTTTAAAGAGTCAGGAAAAAAAAAAACAGGGGCGCCTGGGTGGCTCAGTTGGTTAAGCGACTGCCTTTGGCTCAGGTCATGATCCTGGAGTCCCAGGATCGAGTCCCGCATTGGGCTTCCTGCTCAGCAGGGAGCCTGCTTCTCCCTCTGACCCTCCTCCCTCTCATGCTCTCTCTCTATCATTCTCTCTCTCTCTCAATAATAAATAAATAAAAATCTTTAAAAAAAAAAAAAAGAAAAAAAACAGCTCTTAAAAAGATGCTCTGAGGATCAAACACCTTGCATATGAGTTGATTTATTTGTATTCAGGATTTACATAGTGCTTGCTTACATCAGGCACAGTGTCAACCCTTTAAAATGAATAGTTCCTTTAATTGTCCTAACTCCCTGCGAGGTTGTTACTGCTATTACAGAGGAGGGAACCGAGATCCTGAGAGGTCAAGCCTCTTGGCCAGGGTTCCATAGCTTCTATGGCTCAGAGGTGGCCGAGGTGGCTCGAGCCCTCCTGCTCAGCCACGGAGCCAGCTCCCATCTCTGCGGCTCCCAGCAGTGGCTGTGTTTCTGGGCCTTCCCTCCTGCTGCCATCTCTGCCCGAGCGCCCCCCTCCCCTCTCCACTTCTCATCCTTCAGATCCTGCTCTGACCACGTCTCTTCTTCTGGCAAGCCTGGCCTGCATGAGATCAGGGAGCTCCCTGGCATGGGCTCTCCCTCCCCAAGCACATGTACGAGCGTGCCAAGCAGTACCCTCTGCTGGGACTTGTCCCATTTTGCCTTCCTCCACTGCACTGTCACCTCTCCTGAGGACACGATTACCTTGAAAATTGTCATTTTCTCCCCAACCATTGGAACAGTCATTGGAGCTTAATTTGAAATAGATATATTTGTGGAACACTTTAATGAAGGTGGACAAGGGATGGACTTTGAGATATCAGCAAACACAAATAACCAATGAGGAAGGCAAGAGAAACATCCCTATCACACCCCTGACACACACACACACACACACTCACACACACACACACACACATTCTAAAATCAGAAAGAAACTCAAAACATGCATAGCAACCAACTCACAGCCTGGTAGTCAGTCTGCAACCCCAAAATGGCATAATGATATGACTTTATGGTGTGGCAAATAAAGCCTTGGAGGAAAAGTGTAAAGGCAGGAGGTTCAAATACACTGATGGGAAAATAAAGCTGAGGCCATCATGCACAGCAGCCTGGTGCTCCTAGAAGCAAAATCTCACTGCAAACTTCCCCAGAAAGAGCTCAAACTTTAGGATGAACTCTTTACAATAATAGCTGGGAGACCCTAGACTTCATTACACTCTTTATTAATAACACCAAAGAATCTATATAATAGTTTCACATCTACTATACCATTTTAAGCCTCACATGAATCTAATGAGATGAGTATTACTATTATCCCATTTTTCAGAATAAGAAACTGAGATGACTCATAAGTTGGGTAATTTGCCTACGGTTGTCACAGCCCATAACTAATCATAGGTCTCGGTGTTACTCCTAAGTTCTTTCTTGTGCACACCTGCTTGGGCTGCTTTGCTCCTGGGGTGTGAGCTGGGGGGGGGGGCGTTCTCTTGGGTTGTGCAGAGCAGCCCAGAGATGACCCCAAAGGCAAAAACTAGTGCCGCCTTCAGTGAAGTTCAGAATCACAAGCTATGCTCAGAGTGGGGAATGGGACTTGTTTCTGGCCACCCAGATTGGTTTTGAGGATAGTCTTGGGCAGGAGGACAGATATAAGGTGCGTTCCTCCAGAACGTTTACACTTGCTTAGACAATCTGGAAGGTACACAGTACTCCCGCATGGTTTCCATACATTTCTGATAGGGGGGAAATGAAAAGTACCCTTAGGCCTGCCTTCTCTGGAGTCAGCTGAGACACCCCACTCTCGCAGAAGCCCTGCTCTCTGGCACAAACCCAGGACTCTGCAGAGACCCATGCACCACATTTCTGACCTTTCTCGGCGGCATTTCCCACAGACATCTCCAGGTTGTCAAACTCCTTAAGACACACCCGGTTCTAACATAGTCCGGCTCTCTGTAATGAGGAGGCATTAAGCTGGCAGCCCACTCTCCATGCACTTGACTTTTAGGAGCCACATACAGAGGAGTGATGTACATTGGTTTACAGTTTGGCAGCAGTTATAGGATGATGTTGAATATTCATGTGCTTTATTCACTGTCCCTAGATTAGCCACTAAAAGCTTCCGTACAATCTGGCCAGGAGAAAGATGATTCTTCCCTAGGATTCTGGGCTCTAGTATTTGTGGAGCGTTTGGCAAGTCCTTTGCTATGCAGACTTAACACTAAGAAAAGGAAGTCAACTGACATTGGAAATGCAGGGGATGAAATGATGCCTTCCTCAGTTTCTAGTTAGTAGCAGGGTGTTACAGAGAAAATGTAAGATTTTTTTCCTTGTAAAAGACAAAAGACCACCATGCCCCCGAGTGAAACCCTCGCTAGTACTGTACAGAGCGGGGGTCTAACACAATACTGGCGATGGTTAAGGAGAACCACAGGCAGGTGGGCTTTGGGTGGTTTGGTTCTGCCCACACTTCCTCAAATTCCCTTCCTAGATTGGTGTGGTGGCTGAGTGTGGGTTCAGTTGTCTGGGTTTGAAGTTCTGCTGTACCTCCTATTGGTCATGTATCTTCAGGTAAAATAACTCTTCCGATTCTCAGTTTCTCTATCTATAAAGAGGGATCAAGATTCCATGGAGGCAGTTTGCTTGGGTGGCTCAGTCAGTTAAGCGTCTGCCTTTGGCTCAAGTCATGATTCCAGGGTCCTAGGATTGAGTCCTGAGTTGGGCTCCCTGCTCAGCAGGATGTCTGCTTCTCCCTCTCCCACTCCCCCTGCTTGTGTTCCCTCTCTCGCTCTGTCTCTCTCTGTCAAATAAATAAATTAAAATCTTAAAAAAAAAAAAGGATTCCAAGGAGGCTATTGTTTTTCTTTTTTTTAACTTAAACTGATTCTCAAATGTATAGGCAAGAGCAAAATATAAGACCAGTCAAGGAATCGCTTGAAGAACAAGGGTAAGCAGTGCCGTGAGTTTGTTAAGCAATTTTACTGACTTAGTTTAGGACTGATTAGTAAAAGAGACACGAGGCTAAATTATTTAAGGAGGTGTCTAGTGGGTGAATATGTGTTGTGTGTCTTAAGTTTATTCCAGATGGAAGTCTGGGGGACCACCCTACCCATATTGAATACAGAAGAGCTTTTTCTGGAATGTGGCAATCAGCCAATTTAGTGCCATACTGCGGAAAGATGGTATAAAGATTTTTCCAGTGGTTAAAGCAGGTAGAGTGAAAAATATTTTAAAATATTTTGCCTCTTTCCCTCTCAGATTGGTGACTACCTAGAATGTTAGGGGAGAACCTTTCCAGTAAATTCACTTCAGTTGTTTATGTGAAGCAAGGAAATGACAAAGAATTTTATTTTTCAGACGATGAGAGCAGTAATTTATGGAGTTTATAAATCAACAAATAACCATGAGGCTGTTGCCCTGTCTTATTTCTGTAAACAGAGATATTTCTTATCATCAAGGGCAATAGTGAAGAACCCATGTGCCTGAAAACCCCAAAGTGATATTGCCCGTTATCTGTTTCGGGTTCTTGCAAAATGAAGAGTCCGAAGTGTCCTTCCCCGACACTCACCCTACGGTCCTGAGCGCTGGCTCCAGGCACGTGAGGTGCAGAATTCAAGCCCAACCCTACCGGGCACTCCCTTCCAACAGGTGTACACAGTGAAAGCCGGCTGCAAGTGACCAACACAGGTCATGTTTGAGGAGGGGACAGAGGGAAGAAGTGACGTGATTGGGGCTTGAAGCACACACAAGCTGGCTGTGGGTGAGAACAGAAAGCGGCGGGTAGGGGAGGCTTGCCAGATATTGAAGCTCAGGCCAATCACAATCCAGTGAGTGAGGGTGACATATAGGAGGAATTGCTGACACATGAAGACATTTTAAAGATAAAGCATAGAGAATAGGAAAAAATGCCAGGAAACCAATCTGTATACATTATTTGAATTTTTCAGAAGGTCGAGTCTGACCTATGAGCTTAATGTACATCACCTGAAAATTTCTGAACCAGCGTTTTAAATATAGACGAGAAGCTCCTGTCCCTGGGACTCGTAATAGGTTCAAGGAGAAGAGGTTACTCCAAATTACCTTTACTTCCCAGCTACCGATGTTTAGTAGATTTTGAATTTAACTCATCATTTGACAAAGTCTCTGGCAGTTCTTGAGGGCACGTTGTTGTCTATGTTAAATTGGTTCCCAGCTGCTTGATTGGAGGAGGCTTCTTATTCAATGGAAGGAGTCTCCCTATGTATCACTGGGACCTAAAAAGGTCATTCATACAAGGATGGGAGAGACCTAGGGGTTATGCATAGGGGATGTTGAATGACCATGAACCACTTGTATAACAGAGGCATTAAGCCAGTGAGTAAAGGCCTTTGAAGAATATTAGAATATACTGAGTGAAAACTGCTAACAAAGAAGCATGATTCAGGTTTGTAAAATAATAATGTGTATATTTATATCATTCGCATCTCCATCTATTTCTATATTCATGGCCATCTATTAATAGTGGCTAATTTCTGACAGAAGAATTATGGTGGTTTCTTTTTTCTCCTCTGCTTTATTATTCTTTTCGCTAATGAGAATGAGACCTTCCCCTTCCCAGGCAGAGAGGTGGATGGACCCATTCCTGGACTGCCTTTCGGTTTGGTGTGGTCAGATGAAGGAGCACAGGTGGTGCACGAGGTGAGAAACCGCAGGCGGCTGATGGAGAACGAGTACGCTGCTCACAGACTTGAGGAGAAAGGACGGGAGTGTTGGCACCCCCTGGCAGGGTAGCACAAAGGTGATAATCCAGCCCATGAGCCACAGACAAGGGTAATTCTGCAACGTGGGGGCCACCATGCATCCAAGCACCAGTGCTTAGGAGGGCCAATATAACACAGCCATTAGAGACCTGGAAAGGCTAAGGGGACCTTTGGAGTCGGCAGCTCTGGCTAGAAATCCAGGCTCAGCCACTTGACAGCTATGGAAGTCACTTCCTTGTCTGTGAAATCGGAGCAGTACCTTCAACACAAGGTTACTGTGAGGATCAAGGATAATCAAGCATTTGAAACCCTTAGCAGATTGCCTGGAACACAGGGAGTGCCCAAATAAGGGGAGAATTTTTCTATGGTTGCAAGAAAATAAGGAGGCAAAGGGGAGCAGCTAAGATATATTACTTTGGCATTTCTGGGAAAGCAGTGAGATATAAATCGACTTCGTTTTTCTTCTCACTCCATATCTAGAGCCTGACATTTTCTTTAATTTACCTTCAAGCGTGTTAAAACATTTCCTCCCCCGACTGTTTTAATTCTAACCTCTCCTTTTCCATGAGTGACTCAGAAGTGGGAACCGATGCGTTCACAAAAGCTCACATACTCTTTACCTTCTTAACTCTGGAACAATCTTCCCAGGCGTGGGGATGAAGACGTGGACCTCAGAATAGAAGAAATTGCAAGCCAGCAGGATGCTCTCGGCTGCACTGTGTTCCCCACACGGCACTTCTAGCCTGGAAGTGAGAGGACATCGAGGAGCCGCCGAGCAGCCGTGCACACAGCAGCCTAGCCCAGCTCCCAGGGACTCCCGAAGCGAGTTCTGTATGGTCAAGCAGATGGCACCATATGCTGCCCAGCCTCCACCAGTGGAAACATAAGCAAATAAAGAAAGCTCGGAATGTCCCCACGAGAGAATTCAAACTGCATCCTCTTCTAAATAGACACAGACAGCTTCAATGTAAAGTATTCAATTAGGCAACAAAAAGGAGAACCTTAGTTAAGACTTACATATTCTGCCTTAGTCAATATTCTGAAACTATGAAATAAGCATGAACTTCAGTTACACTCAGGAAGAGAGAAAGGGGATTAGCGCTTTGGCCAGCTTGTTTCTATAAAGGTCTGGCTTGTTTGTTACATTTACATTACAGCACTGAACCAGGTCAGGGTTTTAGAAGAAGCAGAACTTTCTACCAAAGAGATCAGTCCAAGTGAATTGCTAAAATAATACCCATGACCAATTTAGTATCATCACTGAAATCAAAACAACCCCTTATTTAGGCTCTTTTAACTCCAAACACCACAGAACAGGTCACAGAACAGAGGAGAGAGAAAAGAAATGTAATACTAAGCAAACAAACCAAAACCTATTTTTTACATTCCAAACTAAAATAATAATACTCCATGCTGAAAGAGATGAGGTCATGTGGGACTCCTAGCCTCAGTGTGAGAACAACCACTTGGGCTTTTTAGAACGACCTTAAACATCTTCACACCACTCAATCTAGTAACGCAGCTTCTGAGAAAACTCTCTTAAGGACAAAATTAACTTTTAGAAAAATTCTCTCTGCACAAAGATATTCAGCAAGCATTATTTATAAGCACCTAAAATTAGAAACTGCTTACATTTCCGACATTAGGAAACAATAAAGTGAATTATGGGAAACCCACACGATTGAGTAAGTATCACTATAATAGGTTTGTAGTAAAATGAAATATATTTTCAATATGATATTACAAGAAAAAGGACCCCAAATCAAAATAATCACAACTTTAAAATCAAGTATAGAAAAAGTACTAGAAGCAAAGAAAGCCTTAGGAAAACACTAACAGCAGTTGTCTTTATATACACCCCCCACACACACACACCCCCACACACCCCCACACACACTTAGACAAGTCAGCCAACCTGGAGCCTGGGCTTGGCCTGACTACTGTTTCAGCATCTTCTTCCTTAGGAAGAAATTGAGTAAGTAAGCTCTAAAATCCTTTGCAAATCGAACAGTCTCTGGTTCTAATACAGAAAACTGACGCCCTAACACACCAGAGTTTCCTGTTATTTCAATGGGGTCTCCTCAATAGTGATTAAGGGGATCCAACTCCTTCTCTCTTCCTCAGCTCGCATGGACAGAGGGGGCTCTCAAAGGGGCGCGGTTAACCAGATGAAAAGAAAAGGAAAACTACAGGGATTGGCAGAGAGCAGCACGGACTAAGCTAACGTGGGGCTAGCTGGTGAATCTGTCTCTGGACCAATATTTTCAGTCGGCAGGGCAGAGAATGCCTGGGGCCACTGGTGGCCCCAGAGGAAAGGGACATGGATGCAGTCCCAGGGGAAATAAGTGAGGTGTGTTCTGCTCTTGGAACAGTCAGATTCTGCCTTCTCTGTGAGGTTGAATGGATTTAGCAGAGATCTCCAAGAGGGCAGCAACTAACTTGTGGAAGCCTGAGGCAGCCACTTAGCACTTAGTCCTGACAAACAAGGATAAATTTAGTTTTTGGATTCCTGAGAGTTAGACTGGCCCAAGGCCCAAAACAAAACAGGAGAGACAGTGTTCTAAACCGAATTTAACTGTCTCTGGGACCATCTCTAACTAAAATAGCCCTCAATTAAAAAATCATCCTCATCTAATGGTTTCGCAGAAGCCTATTAAAATTAGCTTATGTTAAAATTTGATGGACCAGTCCTCTGCCCAATATCCCTGTACCATACACGATGTCCGTTAAAACAAACCAAGCTCCGAAGAAGTCATAAATCATACTCAACGCTGTCCTTACATCCTCTGATAAATAACCCCAAGCCTCTCTCTCTGAAGTCTAATTTTAGGATGATAAAAACTTACGTCTATAGAAAATCGAGGCTTCTAAGTTTATATTTCATAGTTGGTTCTGAGTAGCTTATAGGAGAAAAAGACATTCTGAAGAGCTTTTCTGTCTAATCCAAGGAGACTAAGACTCAGAGGCAAACACCGATGGATAACCTAGGTAACGTTTTCTTTCTGGAGGAAAGAACAGAGATGGAAAGAAATTAAGTTAGATACTCTCTAAGGCCTTTTGGAGCCGTATCAAGTCCAAGCCGAAAACGTCCAGAGTTAAACAGGAGATTTTCCGAGTAGTAACCAGAGCAGCGGGATCCCCACACGAATATTTCACACACATTATGTCATTCCCTGTCACAAAAGCCCACCATGCGAGGTACTGTTATCCCCACCTTACGGATGAGGAAACGGGGTTCGACTAGGGAGCACGCAAAGGTGAAAGAGTGAGTAAATGTCTGAAAGCCAGGCTCGTGCTCTGCCCACTATCATGCTGCTGTTGACACAGGAAGCCCGAGGTAGCTAGACCTCACATGAACTTGGGCCTTCAGAGCACCATGTCGTATTTCAATTCACGGTCCCATTTCTGACATTGGGGTGACCCTGAGCTGTGAGCGACCGCCCTGCCAGTCGGTCCCACACAGCGTCAGTCACACCTTCCTTCCAGAGCAATGCCTGCCGTTTCTAAACCCTGATCCTGCTCTCCCATGGTCATGGGGTGCGGGGGGCTCTTGCCTCACAGCGTGCGTGGTCTCCGGGAGCCACCTGCCTGGGGGGGGCCTTCCCAACCGCCAAGAGTGTGTGAACTCTTTTGCTAGGTACTCCGTGGAAAATGCGTCGTGTTAAATGATGTTCAATTTCTGGAAGTTTCCCAAAAGTCCAGTATCACGAAACCAAAAACTGACACGAAATGAGGACAACTAATCTTCCAAACGGGGAAGCACCGACATTCCCGCTTTAAATAAGAAGATTCCAATTAATAAGGAAAACTTTTCAGAGAGAGAAGGGAAGCAGGACGGATGTTTGAATGGAAATTGTTGGCTCTTCAATGGTGGCCGTCAGTCAGTGCCACACCTGTGAGGGGGGACACGTGTGGAAATACATGGAAGCCGAGGACCACGCGGGCAGTTACCCCCTCAGGTCTCTCCAAGTGGGGAAATGGCCCGGGACCAGCTCTGGGCCTCCAGAAGCAGGCGTGAGGCAGATGCAACACTGGCTGGCACCGAAAAAACAAAAAAGGAGAGCTTTATTCAGTATATAAACCACCTCCTACTCTAGTCCTACCGTCACCAAGGCAACGTGGTCAGGCCTGCGGTCTTCCGGTGCCCACTTCTCCCTTCCCACGCGGGCCGTGACAAGCCGAGCAGCCAAGCCTGCCAAGGATAGCTCCGCGGGCAGACACTGGGTTCAAATCCCCACTTACTGACTGTGTGACCTTGGGCTTCTCATCTCGGCCTCAGTTTCTGTGACTGTGTAATGGAGGTAATAATCCCCTCCTTCCAGGAATGGTGTGACGCTTACCTGCACGAACGTACAGAAAGAAAGCGCCCAGCTCAGGCCCGCACGAAGGAGCTCCTTAGTACAAGCCCGCTGGCTGGCACTCCCGGGCTGCCTGGCGTGTCTCCTCCTCCTTCAGCTGCTTTGCCCACGACCCCAAACCACCTACCATCTTTTCCTACTAACCTTTCCACCGTGGTTCTCACAATCAGTTTCTTCTGTTGGTTTTAAGCAATCTCTACACCCAGCATGGGGCTTGAACTTACAAACCCCGAGATCAAGAGTTGCATGCTCTACCACTGAGCCAGCCAGGCGCCCCTCTTCTGTTTGTTTTAATAAGATTCCCTGTCTGGGCATTTTTTTTGACATCCACACAATCCGGGATGACCCTGAGATGAAGTGATTTGTAAGACCCCCAAAGCCCACTCACAAGTTTTAATTAAATGATTTTGTCCCCATTCCTGTCCTAAAGTAAGATTGTTCAAAATCACTGATTCTGGAGGCTCTTTTCAGTTAGTTAGCTATCTAAACTACATGGAAGAAATAAGTTGAATATCCGATGTGGATTTTGCCTTTACGACGCCGCAGAGAAATAAAAAGCGGTATTGACAAGATCAAGACCATGATCATCTTGGTGCCCTCTGAACATACCAGTATTTCCCGGGAGCCTTGCAATAAGGAGCTGAGGACACAACTCTGGCGATATGGAATATGTTAAGAATAAGCAGATAAAAGGTGTGTCTGCATCCACCAGGAAGCAATTTGCAGGGGGCTGACTTCTGAGCAGGGTGAGGTTGGGGCCAACTTACTGGTGCAACTTAGGTCACCAGCAAATCATGGTGCCTAAATTTTTTTCATAAAATCTGAACTTTAATATTTCAAAATCAATCAAAAACAAATAATAATGGAAAGCCTTTAAAATATGGCAAAATTTAAAACTTCGTTGGAAATTTCCTTAAACGTATTTTATAATTTAATAATTTTATTCTCGATACCCGTTGGGGGAGGGGGTGCAACCCTAATCTCTTCAGTATTTAGAAGCTCTAACCTTTAAGCAGGCTCCAGTTTGGCCAAACAACCCCACGTGGTCTGGGAGTGGCCGGGTCAGGAGACCGTGGGGATATGAGTACTGAGCCACCAGAGATAGCCGAGACATTCTCTGGCATTGATTTTCTAGTAACGTCGATAAGATCGCACAAATCTCTTCACTTATTCTGGCCTAGCCCACCTAGTCTGTCTGGGTCAACGACTCCATCAAAAATGATGACTCTTCGCCATTATGCACAGGACGACACTGTCTGTGGCCATGGGAACAGGGCCTGTAACCAACAAAGGTCACCAGCCTCAGACAAATGGCCCAACTGCCAGTCCTGGGGAAGCTCCGAGCATTAGATATGAAGTGATAAAGCCAAGAAGATGTGAAGTGATAGTAGCCAAAGCTTGAAGGCTATGTAACAAAACCACATGCACATGGGAATCTCTTCCACACAAGAGCTAACCTGGTGCAAACACAGACTAGGGGGTACTCCGTTGATTGGGAACTTATCTTGCATTGGTTTGTATCAACTGGATTAGAGCCCACATGACTCCAGCGGGGGTCAAAGACAGAAGTATAGAGAGGAAAGCACCAGTGTTGACTTGGGTCTGGGTTGAACTCTTGACCATCCACGTGTCTGCATCAGCTTGGCCACTCGGCCTTCAGGAATGTCAGCTTCCTCTTCTGTCAGTGGAATATGACCGATTCACTGACCACAGATAAGGGCGGTGGGAGAGTTCATTGAGGTAAGGCACGTGCACGGGCTCTCTCGAGCCCAACTTTATGGCTCAGAAAATGGGAAATGGGGCTGCTTCTCCACATGCTGTCAACCATGGTGCTTCTGATTCATAGAAACGGCCATGGCATTAATAACCTGGGGTTTCGAGCAGGGAGTGGAGCTTGCAGGAGGCACTCTGCTGGCTCTGTCGTTATCAGTGGGGCTCATTGTGTGTGTTGGGGGAGTGTTCCGTGAGGGTCCACTCAGGGGAACTAATTTTGGGTGAAATAAGCAAGTGGCATTTTTCTTCTGTGTCTCGGGCACCAGTGAGTGGGCTCTTTTCTCTGATGGATCCCTCTCTGTCCTCCTCACTATTCCTTGAGCGCCCTTGATCCTTGGGTTCTTGGAGGCCCTGTTGTTGCCAACTCTTCCTTTTCTGGTAAGGAGTATGTGGAAGGTGGGAGATCAATAAGGCTAGATTTTAAATCCTTCATTTCTTTGATTTTCATAAAGGGATGTCAATGAACCCAGGCAATTTCCCTGACTTGATTCATGCATAATGGACCTGAAGAGAGACTTATTAGAAAAGAAATGCACTCAAATGCTTTCCTGACATGAATCATTTATTGAAGACAGAATTGCTGGCTGTGAGGGCCCAAAATAAGTTGACTTACAGTATCCTTGTTTCTAGAGAGGTCTGAAATATGACCACAGAATATTGAAGTACTCAGACAGGAACAATGCTTTCGGGGTCATTACGGACTGGCTATTCCTCGAAAAGTTTCACTAATAACAACAGTGATAAACCATGAAGCAGAACCTCCTCTCTCTCCTTTTCTTTTTCTCCTCTAGTCACAAAGCTCAGGAACAGAGGATGCTTGGTGAGGGCAGTGATGTTCTTTCCAACTTCTGTTAGGTAGAATCCGGGACAGGTATTCTTGGATCTGTGCAAACATTCATTAATCCATTGACAGCTTTATTCATTCATTAGGTTGTCAATGAAGCCACTCATTCATCCATTCGGTTAAAAATTCATTGATTCATATTTATTGTTATAACTTTATACCATTGCATTAGCCCTCTGAAGGTAAGCACCGGGGATTCTTACAGGGCTCCTTTCTGTGTCTTATGTGGGTCAGTACTATGCTCAACAAACTACAGCACTTACTGAGTAATATTTCCAGGCCCAGGATGAACCCCCACCCCATCCATTTCTTACAGAATAAATAGAAGCTCAATAAATATTGATCCAATCTGAATCTCTAGATGATCTAATATAATTTGATCTTCATACCAATAACTCTGAATTGTCAAAAGCAAAATGCAAAAGCAATAGCATGAACTGACAATGTCCGAGGTTTCTTTCCCATTACAATAAGCACCGGGCAGATGACCCAACAATTTATTCTCCTAGCAAAAGCCATGCAGATAACCCCCCATGATTGTTCCCTAAGCCATCACGTTGTGTAACAAGCATGGAATCCTCTTCTATAAATGCTGAAATTGCATGAGGCAATATATATCAAACTGACATGAAAACAACTAAAATGAAAGCAAATTACCTACTTAAACCCCATCAGGGGAGCTCAGATATTGGTTGGGGACTAGAGTGGACTGGTTTTTTTGTTTGTTTGCTTGTTTTGGTTTTGTTTTGTTTTTAAACAAAGACTCTTCTATTAAAATACAAATCTAAAAAATAAAAATACAAAAATAAAATACAAATCTGATAAAAGTAAAGGAAATTATGCTCACTATGTAAGTCACTTAGTCATAGTCATGGAATATTTTTAAAGATAATTTCCCCCCATTATAACAGTAATTCACATTCATTATATAAAATCTGTAAAGTTCTAAAATGTAGAAATTTTAGCACCTATAACCGTCACTGACATTTTGGTTTATTCTCTTTCAGTCTTTGGTGAATGCACAGACTTTTTTTTTCTTTTTTTCTTTGCTAGGTACAACCATTGCAGAGGTCTTTTTGTTTTTTTAAATATAGTTGAGCTCTTAGGTTAAATCAATTTCATATGTCCTTTTCTTAAGCTTTAGTGAGATCATTTTCAATGTCCATGTAACACAAGATAACTCCTCTAGTACTTAC